ATGTTCCAAGGAAGAAATAAGGAAACTAAATCAAACTGCTTCACAAATAAAATAGGGACAGACAACCTTTGAACTGCTCCCCGAGAGATTTCTCTACTGGAAGATTGATGAGCAACATCGAGCCCTACACAAGATAAAAAATAAAAAGAATGTTGCCAGAAAGTGCCAATTGTGATTTTTGAATTACATCACAATGGTTTAAAAACAGAAGGAACAGAAAAAGTACACCAAGAAAAGTCCCCACTTCTAAAAAGGGGCTGGGCAAGGTTTAATTTGCTTTCAATTTGATGCAAATGTTGAAAACATTTTAAAGGGTGTAGTAAAAAAAAAAAAAGGAAAGAAAATGTAAACGACTTGTTATATCACTTGTATTTCTGCAAGTTTAGGTAAAGTCTGTTTCACTGCCTTGAAATAGAGTTTTGAAGGGGTTACTGTAACCACACTGTTAATCCTCCTGAAGAAATGGCTTTGTGAGCACATGTCTCAATTTGTGTGCTACTGGCAGATAAGGGCAATTTCTAAGTTCCAGTTGGCTAAGCAGCTCCTGGGATAATGCTCCGTTGTCTCATAAAGGGCTTTCTCTGGGACAAAGAGTATGGCCAAGAGCACTTTGGGATCTGTCCAAGACTAGCTGCTATGGAGAAGCACCTATGACAAATTACCAAACTACTTCCAGGAACACAGGAAATAAAACCACTCCTTGGAGACTTGTCACGTTGACAAGGACAAGCAAAAACAACCTGAACAGAATGTAGATGCAGCAGAAGGCTCTTATGAGTAGCTAGGCAGACAGAATGTTTAAGTCTGCATTAGACACATGGAAGATATGAGCACAACACTCCAAAAAGCTAAACCGTGCTGTCTGCTTAACAATAGTTAAAAAGATGAGTGAATCGGAAAATATCTGCCTCACTGGCAGTGTGCCCAATGTGCTCCATTGTTCCAGTTCATGTGGTGAAAAGGGGGATGGTCTGACAGAGCCTGAGAATATATACCAACTGCAAATGAGGGCAGTCAGTAACAGATCAGAGTTCCTCCTAGACAGACGTACAAAGGGAAGCAACCACTAAAAAAACTTGTATTTGCACTAAACACCAAACTGATCCACTGATCTCCCTTCATCCCCTGCATGGCCGTGGAGTCTTCATCTTCGAGTCAGTCCATACAGTCACACAGATTTCCTCCATATATCCTTTATTAGCACATCAAGTGACAAGACAAAACAAGAATGTTCATCCTAGAAAGCTCATTCTCTTGGTTTCTAAACCCAACCTGTGATTGGGAAGTGAAAAATAAGCAGCAGACTGAAAATTCTAGTCTGCTCTCCTTATCTCAGCAGATTTCTTGTTAGCACCTGGGGCCTGCAGCACAACTCACTGACTCCTTGTGCGGCTTCTTCTCTCAGTCTGAGCTCTATTGCACAGGGGATCACAAGAGGATAGATACAGAGCCAAAATTTGGTACTTACACTAGTTGCTTTTAAAAATACATTTAAGGTGACGTTAAACTCAGGCGTTCAAAGTGCATTCAAGTAGGCTATAAACAAAAATGTCGCTCATCACTCAGCTGTAGATCCTCAAATCATTTCCGAATTCATGCAGACACTAATTCCTTCTGGAGGGTGGCTGCTTTTTTTCCTCGGGGTGTGTGAGATAAAGTAGCCACCACTACAAACTCACATTTAGCTAACTTGTATTGAAATTATAGTCCATCACGGGAGCAAGCTTGGAGTGATGGCTACTTTACAACATGCACACACAGCAAAGGTGGGGAACAAAATCAGTCACCCTCCAGAAGGAAGGACGATGTCCGCCCCAATTCAGAGATTTGAGGATCTACAGCCGAGTGATAGTAGGCTAAATTTATCATTACAGTTAAGGTTTTGGAAGCATTTTTAAAATTTAGCTCCTGAGTTTAGGGTCACCGAAAGGATTTTAACCAGTCCCCCTTGTTTTTGGTTTTGTTTGCATTGGAGATCTCCGTTCCACAACGCAATACCTTTCTCTCACAGTTATGCTTGTATTCATGTTTTCATGACAGAGGAAGTTAATTTGGTAGATTTCAATACATAGGTATTTCATATGTTTAAAACTGGAAAGAAAAATAGTAAAAATCAGAAGAAAATAAAGTAGATTTCCAGTAATTTCTTGCAACTTTTACAATTGCACAGCCCCAAATATTTGCCACAAAGTATAACCAAAAGTCTTCTATTAAAATGATCTGTTTAGGTAAAATGTTATCAGAACAGCGAGATGAAAAAATTTCAGGTTTATGTGGACACAAATGAGCATGACGGCAACATTTTCAAAGGACTGCAGTTGCTAACAATTACATTGTGCTCGCTTATTTCATGCAAATAACATCCAGATGCCTCATGTCCCAGTATCCATGCTAGTAGAGAGATGACCCCTCCAGTACACCGCTATCCTCCCTATAGCTATCTTATATCTAAAAAAAGAGCACTGGAGGCTTCTTACACAATACACACATTTTTACACTCATGGCTCATGCAGCACCTCGGTCATTCTGTTCTCCCAGTTCTCTGTTCGTTCCAGTGTTGCTCTCCCTTCACATACTCTCATTTGCACTATTACATTCTCTGTCTGTATGCGTTTCTCTATCCCTTGGTCGTCATCCTGGACCCTTAGAGTAGTACACAGTCTCTGAAGGCTGTTGGCCACCTCTATTGAAAGCACACAAAGTACCTTCAACGAGTGGTAACTGCCTGTTCAAGAAAATAAATGCACATACTTAAAGGAAATTAAGGAAATCTAGGACACTCCTAAAATATGACCTACTGAAAGGATGTGGGCTGAAATCCCCTTTTATGTTCACCTCCACTAAGTAAAATCATATTGGGTCATGAAAATATTTGGTCAATGACACTGTCCATGATCCAGCCCCAGCTGGTTTGTTAAACTGCAGCTGGGGACAAATAGGACCAGTTTGTTATTTTGTTCAGCCATTTGCCAACCAGCAAACAGGCAAGGTTCAGGTCGTGTTCAATACAAACCAAAAGCTCACACCTAGTTTTTAGTACATGAGCATTAACTCTTTAACAGGGTCCCTGTATAAATAACCCCTCAGCACCAGGTTTCCAGCACACGTATGGACAACTAAAGGCTCCCGTTTAACAGTCCATACAAGTACCAAATCCAATTACTATGGAACGTATAGGTCTAAGCAAACAAAAAACATTTTTTACCAACCTTTTCTAAGCCAAATCCTCTTTAATGCGTGTTCCCTCTCCCAGACACTGTACCTTGCAGTAAGAGGGTTTGAGCAAAACAGGCAAGACAGTCAATCCAGAAAAATGTGGGCAGGACTAGATGGGGACAGATGTTGATAAACTACAGACTTGTGATTTAGTCGTGACAATGCCGATAACCATGCCCTCTGCAACATTTTCTCATGCCACGACAACCTACATGAGAGTTGTAACTTTGCGCTGAATTTAGGAACAGTGTTGCTCTACTGCCACACCATCACAGAAAGCTGCATTAGATGGACTTTACTGGTGGGCTCAACAGGTATCTGTGGGACTTTGTAATGAGAAAACGAACTGCAGATGCACTTATAATTGTTATAGCAAATAATGGAGTGCTTGCCCATGGCAACCAATTAGCATCGATTTTTCATTTTGAAATCTTAAAAAACTGAAGGGAGAAGCTGATTGGTTACTATGGGCAAGTGCACCAGGTTCTGTGCTTCAGTTTTAATTAATTCCCTTCAGTGTTCTTAACCACTTGCTGTCCAGAGAAATTTACCATTTGCACACAATATAATCTGATTTTTTTGCTGGAAAACAGCTTCAGACCCCCCCAAACATTAAATTTTCTGAAAGCAGAGGCCCTGTAGAATAAAACGATGCTGGTTGCATTTTTTTTATGTTGCACAGTATTTACGCAAATGTTTATCAAACCAGTATTTTTAGGGTAAAATACACTAAAATGAAATTTAGTGCACAAAAACGGAATACCCAATTTTTTGGTAAAATATAAAAGATGTCACGTTGGGTAAATGGATACCAAACATGTCAAGCCTTAAAATTGCATTCGCCCCATGAAGCCACAAAAAACTACAATACCCAAAATTTTTCATAGGGAACATTTTAAAAGCTTTTACCGCTCATCATTTTAGTGCTAACAGTGATTGATTGTTCCAGAATTATTGCTCTCGCTCCGACGTTCACAGCAATATGTAACGTGTCATGCAATTTACATTTTTCTGCGTAGGCGCACCAACGCATGTTTGCACATTTGTTTTGTTTGCACTTTAATTTTCTTATGTGACTTTTTTAAACTTTTTTTTGTACTAACCTTTAGTGATCTAAAGCACACTAAATTAAGAATGGCTCAAAAAAAAGTGTTATGAACTGCCCTACTCAATGCTTTGATTCTCATTGAAACTTTGAAGGGGCATTTCATACAAAGAAACCTTGCATCTGAAGGAATTTTGCATGAAGTGTTCATAAATGTTGAGGTTGATGTCAGACTGGTGGGCAGTTATACAAAATTCCCCCAAGGAGTAATTTCTTCTAAAAAAAAAGGGCAATAACTGCTTCTGACGCCAAGGGTGTACTAACCATTTCAACACTACACTATTGCATCTATTGACATTAATGTTGAGACCGAAAGGCAATTTTTTTGGCTTTTATTCAAGTAAATCACCTTTACCTGTAGGCACTGGTCAATTTTCCACATGCATACACACATACAATGTATACATACACACAAACAGTATATAGATAACCTCCCCATCCCTTCCCAAAATAAATAAGCGTGTAAAACATAACAGGCGGACAGGGGTTAAATGCCCAGACAATATTTGTTCTATAAGGATTTGTGATCTGCAGCTCCATTCCTGTTTATTTAGGCAATTTCAGCACATACAGCATGTTGAACAAATCTGTAAAACTAAATGAGCAAGCACTAAAAAGCAGCCTTTACTAAGTTAGTATGTTGGCATTTTTATATTACTGGATAAAGTTAAATACTTACATGCCACCAATAGTGACTGTGGCGCAGGTACGTTCAGAAAATGCTGGTACGGTGTCTGTAGCTGCACTAGCAGAGCGGATGTAGTCCACATTCACATTTACCTGGAAATGAGAATAAAGCTTCTGAAATTATCTCTTCTAGTTTTATATATTTTAGCCACAAATCACAATACAGTTCCAAAAAAAAAGGTAACATGTTTCAAATGGTAAAACTCCTTTTTATACACACACTGATTAAACAAGAAAAAAATTGTGAGACGAAAAACATATGTCAGCAGAAATAAATATCAAATTGAGGTATAAAGGAGGTATAAAGTATAAAGGTTTGTACAGGAAGCACAGTCCTCAGTATAACATGACCAGAGTGGGTGTAGCGTTACCAAGAGGATTTGATGTCATTATGCTGAGCTGCATACTGAAGTGTCCTGGAGGTTCTTTATATGTTATTCGACCTGGGTCATCTACATGCAGATTGACTCTTTCCTTCCTGCCAACCCTTTCTTTGCACACACTGCCTTACCCTTGATTTGGTCTTTGTAGGTATGTCACACTACCTTACCCTTGAATTGGTCATTGTAGGTCACATTACACTTTTTTTGTTTTTTTTTAAATCACATCTGAACTCAATTGGAATGATCAACTTTTTCCAAATTTCAAGTGGTGCAGTATTGTCTTTTCTAGACAAAAAAAAATACAGAGGCTGCTACTGCTGATTCTTTTGAAAAGAAGTGCTTGATGTCTCTGGCCTCAATGCTCTAGTACTCTAGAGTGAATCAAAGACAATGCATGATATGCTTACTAACGCTTTGGATCAACAGCCAGGCAACAAGAATTTTTAAAGAGGGCTCAGCTATGGCAGCCTACAGTACAGGTTTCAGTTAAAGCCATCACTGACCTCTCCTTTTGGAAATCCTAGTTGCCTATCATAGTAATCCAATGGTTTGAACACTTCGAAGCAATACCAAGAACACAAATGAAGAAGTGAAGGTTCCAACCCCAATCTGACTTTGTAATCTGCAAGCTTATGCCAGTATTGAAGCCAAAAAAAAGCCAGACAACTAGCAGTTTAGTAAGGCGGTTAGCAATGGCAACTCACTATTTTACCCATCATCAGCATTTACCCACCAGTTTTAAATGTGTCATGTGATCATAGTAGATTAAACGCTATGAACATGTGGCTTTTTCTAAGAATTGTTTTACTGTATGTTTTGCAATGGCATATATATGGTAGAGAAATCATATTAGCTTACATATGTGCTTTCCACTTAAGCAAGCCATACAGTCTTCAATTAATCTCATTCAGCTCCCTGGTCAAAATGATAGAAATCTCTCTATTCCTCTATTTACGATGTTTTGCCCTGCTGAATAAATACCCAAACAGTGACTGCATCAGCTGACAACTCAACCCTGCTCCTTTTGTAATAGAAGTTTGCAGAGCTGGGAGGTGCCAACAGGGCCACCCATACTCAAAGCCTTGGTATGCTACATAGCCAGGGCTTGAAAAATTTGATAGTGTCTCACCAGTCAAAAATGTCACCAGTCAGCATGACCGGACTATAGCCTTGCAATTTATGTTAAAGAATTTTAGGGACAGATGGAGCTTTCTTTTGGAGGTATATAATCAGCACGGGGGGAGTTGATTTTTACTGTATAATTTTAAAAGTACCATAAATGTAAAAAAAAAAAAGTTTCCCTACGTTATGTTATAAAATATTTATTCTTACCCATATTTTTAGTAAAACATAAAAGCCGGGGTCACGTCGGGTAAATAGACACCAAACATGTCAAGCCTTAAAATTGTGTGTGCCCGTAAAAATCGCAAAAAACGCCCATAAGCGACAATTAAAAAGCTTTTACTGTTCACCAGTTTAGTGTCATCAGTGATTAAAGGATAACTATGGGGTCAGGGATTTTCCCCATAGTTCTCCTTAGGGTAACGGGAGGACACAAATTAGCGTCCTCCCATCACCCTAAGCTCAGTATACCGCAAGCTGCAGCTCGCGGTATACTGAGACGCCGCAGCTGAAGCGGATCCCGACAATTATGTCTGGATCCGCCTAGCTGCATGAGTGACAGTTGGCTCTGCCTATCATTAATATACATGACTTCCTGCATTCAGGGACTGAGAGGAGATCAAAGGGAGTTCGTGTACTGAACTCCCTTTGATCTCCTGTCACAGAGCTGTGCCGGTCCCGGCCGCATCGTGCACAGCGGATCTCAGGACCGGCAGTGACATCTGCTGAGTGCTGATACAAGCGGTGGAGCGTCTCTCGAGACGCCCAATCGCTTGACTGTAAAGCTCCCGGCCGGCCGTGTAATTACAACGACCGGCCAGCTGCTCGTCGGGCTCCAAGTGGATTTTTCCAGCCCTGTACATAGTTGTGTTTTGGAGCTCATACCTCAACACAAATGTTTAGGTCAGTTCAAACCTTTATCCCATACCTGAGTTTGATCATATTTAAAAGGAAATGTTGTATACTTGTACATTTGGAGGGTATAAATATAATAAGCAATTAAATCTACAGGAAAAAAAATAAGAAAAAAAACTTTATAGCAAACTACATGTGCAAAAATGTATTAAAGAATATCTCAGAAGACTACATAACCTTACACAGACCTTTGTGACCACACACAAAAGCAAAACAGAAGGGTTTTTTTTTACCCCCACCCTACAATTTACATGCAAATCAATTCTGTTTTAGCTATTCCAGAAAATACAAGGATAAGGCTACAGAAAAACCCAACCACCAGCGCAGATCAGTAGCAATGTGCAGAATGTTCTAGCAGAACATTCTACGAGAAGAATAAAGGTTTGTACAATAATCACAGGCTGTAAGCCTTTCACTGTGCCGTGTTCCATCTCCGTGACATCTTTCATACTAGTCGAGCCAGGAGAAGGAGAATGACAGCTTTCAAACAGCAGATAACGCTACACAAACCCACACGCTATTGTGCTTACTAGTACCATTGCTGTAAGCAAGGAAGCTGAAAGCAATTCTGTCAAACAAAACATGCAACTGCAGTCCGAGACTTAAGAACATTTGAGGTAATTAAGCTGTAATACCCCACTACAATCAAATTAAGCGCAACAACTTGTTTAGTCTCAGGTCTTTTTTGGATTTTCAGATCTTAAACATTTAACAAAATATTACTGGAAAAAAAAAAAAAAGACAACACCTAAAGTAAATTGCAAGTAGTCAAATGGCATGTAGACGGAGTACAAAATAAGATCACTATACATAAAAGATTCAGATAGCCATGCACACATCGTTGTTGGAGGCATGGAACGTAACCACTGAACACCTCAGTGTCAAATGCAACCACAAAACATACAACTAAGGAGTATAGATAATGAACAGTATAGCCTACTGTAACAAGTTTTTTTTTTGGTTTTTTTTTTAAATAGTCACAAGTTGTCAACATATTGGGTTAGGCTGCCCATACACCTTGAGATCAACGGAAGACACTTTCCATCCGATGATCGAACGGTCGTGCGATTTTCGTACGGCGGCCCAATCCTGCCCGGATTATCACAAGGTTGGATCAGCGGTAATTAGAAGAAAGCACCTGGATGAATTGCGGTAATCGACCACGTGTATTTTCGCCTGCGCATGTGCAGTGTAGATCGTACGAATTTTGACGTACAGAAACGCCACCAACCTTGCGAAAATCGTACGATCGACCAAAGTTTTCTAACCTGCTGGTTAGTCAAGTCGATCGATTGCACAGTATTTGCGGTTGTACATTGACCATCAACCTTACGAATATCGGCCGAAAAAGCGTTCGCATCCGAAAATCAGCCAATATTCGTAAGGTGTGTGGGCACCTTTAGGTAGGTAAATGGATAGGTGTGGCCAATAGGATTAAGGTCAAACAGTGTTTATGTTACGGGGGAGACATCCTACTGAGATTAGGTATGGGTGAACTTGGAAGTTGTATGGTTGATCATAGTGGTTAGTTTCTCAGCTGAAAAAAATAGTATGAGGGGGGAGTTATCAAAACTAGGGCAGACAAAATCTGGAGCAGCTGTGAAAGGCAACCAATCAGCTTATCTTTCATTTTCAAATCTTAACAGACCAAACTGAAGGCCTGGTTCACACCTGGGCGTTTTGTAGCACGTTCGAACGCTCTGCACAACGCTCAAACACTGAAAAATCCCATTATTTCCTATGGGTATGGTTCACACCTGGGCGTATTACAGGCCGTATGAACACGCTACAAAACGCCCTACGCCCAAAGTAGTACAGGAGCTTCTTTGGGGCCTTTTTGTTGCGCGTTTCCATTTGGATACAGCCAAGTAGCCCTCGGAAACGCGTTTGTCGCGCGGTTTTTTACCGCGAATCGCGGTAAAAACGCGCGTCACAAAACGCACGACAAACGCACATATTCGATACGCCTAGGTGTGAACCCAGCCGAAGAGAGAGAAGCTGATTAGTTACAATGCACAGCTGCACCAGATTTTGTCTGCTCCAGTTTTGACAAATTCCCCCCTATGTGCATTAAACATTATGTCTAATGAATATTATGGCCATGTTCCACTTCCATTCATATTGCTTTTCATTTAGCAGTTGACCCTGCTAGTTTCCACCTGTGCAATTGAACAGTGAAGGCCAACCTATACAGTTCCTCCCCTCTTGCTCTGAGAAGCATAGAGCTGTAATTATAATGTGCTGTTCCCGCAGTGCATCACTTCATGCGTTGATATCAGCACCCACTTCCCGGAGAGAAAAAAAATATATAGTCACTATAGATCACCAGTGGATCACAGATATAATGCTCTGGCTCCTGCAGGACCAGTAAAGTGTCCCACAAAGTAAGCTACGTCAGGATTCTGGAGAGATAAAATGATTGGCAGATCTTTCCCTGCACAATTTTTATTGGGAAGTGATCCTAACATCTATGGCAATACTAAAACTACTAAAATGTATGACTGTACAAGTCTGTCTATACTGTTGAAATGAGACACTATCAACGGACAGCTACACAGAATCCGAGCTTAGATCACGTAGATTAAACAACTTCATTTTTTTTCTCTGCGTCAGCAAGATAATGCCGTTCACATGCTATAGGAGTGCTTCATAAAAACAGCCACACAAGAAAAG